ACCCTTTTATCATGGAATCACAGAACCTTTGGGCTGAAAGGACCTTAAAGATCATCTAGTTCCAGCCTCCTGTGACAGGGACACCTCCCACCAGCCCAGGCTGCTCCAAGCCCCATCCAACCTGACCTGGAACACTCCCAGGGATGGAGCAGCCACAGCTGCTCTGGGCAACCTGTGCCAGTGCCTCAGCACCTCACAGGGAGGAATTTCTTTCACTTGCAAACTTTCCACATGAGGTTTCATCTATAGAACCTCAGAAATCCAGGGACATGGAAAATTCTATTTGCCTTTCTTTGCTTGACAGGTATTGTGCAATTTAACCTGCATCTAAGTCAAATATCACAGAATGATTAAGGTTGGAAAAGACCTCCAAAATCATCAAGTCCAACCTGTCACCCATCACCACTTGTCAGCTAGCCCAGAGCACTGAGTGCCACCTCCAGCTGTCCCCTGAACTCCTCCAGGGATGGTGACTCCATCACTAACCTGGACAGCCCCTTTTAATGCCTGACAACCCCTTCCATGGAGAAATTCCTCCTGAGATCCAACCTGAACCTCTCCTGGCACAGCTTGAGGCCATTTCCACTTGTCCTGTCACTAGTTGCCTGGGAGGGGAGAAGAGGCCCCACCTGGCTACAACCTCCTGTCAGGGAGCACTGAGGTCTTCCCTGAGATAATTACAACAGATTACCAAAACCTCATGCTCTATATAAAGTACCCTCAGGAGATTAACCCTCAGCCACAACTCTACTTTGCAGTCACTTACTTGTGGAATTTTGACTCGAAAGACTCTAGCAAGTTCCACAGAAAGATCTTACTGAGATGTGTTTGTTCTATAAATCCACACCACATTATTCTGAGGTCTTCCCTGAGATAATTACAACAGATTACCAAAACCTCATGCTCTATATAAAGTACCCTCAGGAGATTAACCCTCAGCCACAACTCTACTTTGCAGTCACTTACTTGTGGAATTTTGACTCGAAAGACTCTAGCAAGTTCCACAGAAAGATCTTACTGAGATGTGTTTGTTCTATAAATCCACACCACATTATTCTTCAGCAGAAGGTTAGAGCTTCAGCTCCTTAAAAAAGGAGGTTCCTGGTGGTTTTCAACAGGACTTCTTCAACAGAGGATCTTCAAAGCAATTTTTTTAGGAATAAAATATCAGCACATTGATGGTTTAATGACAATAACAATGGCAGAGTGAGAAACAATGGAGACGAGTCACATCAACAGGTGAACCCAACCCTCCTGTTCCCATCAGACATCATCATACTTACTGCATGGAAGCCTAAATCCTGGCAGAGCAGCAGTTCCAAAAGCACTGAGCAATCATGATGGAGAATCATCTACATTTACAATCCTTTAATGCAAATAACTGAGGCTGAAAGGTGGAAAAACGCAATCCTTGGAGGTATAACCAAACTGGCCCAGAGATCAGCAGAGAGGATCAAGAATGTACATGCACATCCTGCACACACAGAGCCAGGCTGAAACCTCTCCCAGGTGCAGCTCTTTCAAGCTTTAGGATGGCTTTGAAACCACCTCAAGTTTTGGGAGAGCTGGAAAAGCTTTACAGTGAAAGAGATTTAAGGAATTCCATCTATAGGTTATTGAAGTTAACATATTTTTGTGTGAACGAGGTGAAGTAGTTAGAAACTGGAGTTGTTCTAACAGCTGATGGCAACAACTGTAACTGAACAGTCCTAGAGCTGAAGGAGGACTAAGCATGGAAAACCAGCTGAATCACTCCAGAGACATGGAAAAATCCTCACACTTGTAGGATCTACAGGAAAATCAGCTTTTCCACCACTATGTCCTACTGAACCCCAAAGATACAGAGCTGGGGATGCAGAAATCACTGGACTGGATTCCAGGGCTCATGGCATGGCAGTCCCAACATTCCACTGCCATGGTCACTCCTGGCCCCGAAATCAGCTCATGTGGAACAGGGAGAAAAGCTGCAGTGCAGGTCAGAACACTGAGCCTACCAAAGGAGAGTGGCAAGAACCCAAATGACAGAGTCCACGAGCTGCAAGCAGAGCTGTGCTCACACATCCACCAACCTGCAGCCTCTGCTGCTTCAATTAAAAACTCCAAATGAGCTGTTACTCCTCCAACTTTTACTTCTGAAGTCTGTTCCAACGGAGCTGCTATTTACACATGAGAGTACCACCATACCTACCAGACCATGGCTTGGAGTAGGTTCATTGCATAGGAAGATTTGCTAAGTTTACATTGGTTTGTTATTTTGTCTTAAATTACCTTTTTTTTTCTTTTTTTTCCTCCTTTTAAAAAGCACAGTAAAGAGTCTGAGGACAAATTATTCAACTGTTTATCATACATAAGACTGCATGACTATAATACAAAGGGCTTGTCTTTCATTTAACGTTACAATATACACAGCAAGTCCGGACTAGATCTTACAATCTGAACACAGGTATTTAACCTTTTCCATGCTGTTTATGTTTACAATGCACAGAAGTCCTGTAACCAAACTGTGTAGTAAAGCACACAAAACTGGACTGTAACATAACACAGTATGCAGAAGCACTGGATTTGATGAGTTCTTCTTGATGGAGAGAGTTAACTGCTTTAGTATTTTTATTTTTTTTTGGTGGTCTCACCCAGATTCCATATCACCCTTAGATTCCTAGACAGCAGTAAGTACTGGATTCCTTTTTTTTAATATATATATATTGCTAAACTCCTGTTGCTAAGGTGACAAGCCTTCCAAAGCCTGTAAACTTCTCTGAATTACTGAGCTTCCAAAGAAAAAACCCAAACGGAAAAAAAAAAAAGAGGGAAAAGCCCCAATTTGCTCCACAGGGTTGATGTGTCCATACAAAAGGAATTTTTGCAGGATTAAGAAAATCATGCTTTACAAAAGACATGATCATCCCAAGGAGTCATTCCCATTGCCATGGGAGTCAGCTGCTGCATTGCCACTGTGAGTATAAAAAAAAATTCCAGCCTTTTAGACGGAAAAACAACGACTGGGCCGCATGGAATTGACCATTTGTTGCTAAATTAGCTTTCCCAAGGGCTCTACTGGCAGAGGTAGATCACTGCTTCTGTAAGATACAAGGGGAAAACACTGTTCATCTGGGATGGGCAAGCAAGGAATTCACCTTTATTATTCCACATGGGTTGGGGTTTTGTTGTTTTGTTTGGTTTTTTTTCCATGCAGCTTTTCCATACTAATCAATCTCTGGATGGGCCCATAAATTTTTGCAACTGCCAAGCTGACTGTGTTATATTAAGGCAGCATTACCCAAAAATGAGGCACCTGTTTAAATACAGCCTGCTAACCTCAGGTCTCGTGTGAGCGTTTTTGCTTTACTCAGCCTATTATTTTGGGACCTGTTCATGCAATCAAGGTCTTTTGCCTTCAAAGTTTACAATGATGTTAAGAAGGAATACAAGAATCAACTGCTGGTTTCATAGCTTCTGGCTCTAGTGTCCCTTTATCCCTTCAGAAGCCTGAACACATTGCTAATGTCACAGATGTTATAGTCTCCAAGTAGATGTCAATCTATTCTCTTCAGTACACAGATTGCTGTAAATGTATTGGCTATGAATTCAACAACAGTTCCAGTTTTGTTTAAGCAATAGTACAGCCATATTTTTTTTTTCAACTGACATTTAAAAATGGTCTAGTTACACCTTGTGTCAAAGTGCAGAACTGCTACATTATTGGTTACAGACATCTATGTGCTATAAAAACAGCTTTGGTACAATAAATTATCAAAAAAGAAAATAAATTTTTGTAAAATTCACAGCATAATTGTGAGGCAAAAAAGCAGTCACATAAAATTCTGCATTTTGTTTTTAAAAATGTTCAGGATGAACAGAAGAAGAGACGTCTTTGTGCAGAAGTAAATGGTGGAGAAACCACGTGCTGAGAAAAAGCAAAAGAAAAAAGTAAAAAGCAGGAAGGGACACAGTTGTAGCTATTTCCATCAAAAGCAAACCACTACTCCTGTGACCTTCAACCAATAAGGAAAGTCAACTTTATGACACACGCAAAGTGACCTTGCAATACCTTACAATAAGTGGGTCACAAAAGTCTATTTTGAAAAGAAAGGCCTCTTGAATTACCCATTCTCTGTGTTTTCAGCATTAAGGACTGTCTGCAAAAGCATGTCCAAAAGTGATTGCATCTGAAATGGTAGGCTCTTCTAACTTAAGAGTCCAAATCCATAAGGCCAAAGGTTATCCCAAAGACCACCACTTAGACCTCCCCAGGACTGGCCAGGACCGACCCGTTGATTGCTTCTCAGTGCACCTCAGTTATGAAACCAGTCATATTTCAATCCTAACTGCCCGTGGGCTCCAAACTGTGAGCCCCACAGGATCCCATTCCAATTGCTGCTTTGATCCTCAGTAGATTCAGAAAAGGAGAGTTGTGCTCACCGCCACTTGGCATGCTCAGTGTGCCTCACCAGCTCCGTTCCAACCGTCCCTTTTTACAGCTGAAGGATAGAGATTTGTGTCATCTGCAGGTCCCTCTTTCTTACAGTACTGCATTGCTGTGCCCATGTTTGTTTGGGGAACTAAAAAAAATAGATATATTACTCCCTTCCCACCCAAAAAAACTTCAAAGGGCCTTTTGTTTGTTTGTTTGTTTTAGGAATCATGTGCAATGCCTTGAAAAAGAAACTAGTTTGCAACTACAGCTAACATTTGACCAAGAACCCCCTGCTGAATGAGAGCAAAAATAAAACCAAAAACCCCTCCCCAAAAAAACCAAACTATGACTAGGGTGGTGGCAAGTTAAAACGGGGAAGCAAAAAAGGTGAACACCACTAAGCTAATTTGTTAAGGTGGGTCCAGACATGGCTCTTAAAAAAAAAAATAAAACCAATCAAAAAAAAACCCCCCCCCCCAAAAAAAAACAAAAAAAAAACTTCATTGCCCCTTTGCAATCTTT